TTTGGGGCTGCTTGTTGTTAGATTTGCAGTGTGAAACATTTGGTCATTTGAGCCTGGTTGTTGTTAGATTTGCAGTGTGAAACATTTGGTCATTTGAGCCTGGTTGTTGTTAAATTTGCAGTGTGAAACATTTGGTCATTTGAGCTTGGTTGTTGTTAAATTTGCAGTGTGAAACATTTGGTGATTTGATCCTGGTTGTTGTATATAGAATTGAAGTGTGAAACATTTGGTGATTTGAGCCTGGTTGTTGTAAAGAATTGAAGAGTGTGAAACATTTGGTGATTTGAGCCTGGTTGTTGTATAGAATTGAAGAGTGTGAAACATTTGGTGATTTGAGCCTGGTTGTTGTGTAGAATTGAAGAGTGTGAAACATTTGGTGATTTGAGCCTGGTTGTTGTATAGAATTGAAGAGTGTGAAACATTTGGTGATTTGAGCCTGGTTGTTGTATAGAATTGAAGAGTGTGAAACATTTGGTGATTTGAGCCTGGTTGTTGTGTAGAATTGAAGAGTGTGAAACATTTGGTGATTTGAGCTTGGTTGTTGTATAGAATTGAAGAGTGTGAAACATTTGGTGATTTGAGCCTGGTTGTTGTATAGAATTGAAGAGTGTGAAACATTTGGTGATTTGAGCCTGGTTGTTGTATAGAATTGAAGAGTGTGAAACATTTGGTGATTTGAGCCTGGTTGTTGTATAGAATTGAAGAGTGTGAAACATTTGGTGATTTGAGCCTGGTTGTTGTATAGAATTGAAGAGTGTGAAACATTTGGTGATTTGAGCCTGGTTGTTGTATAGAATTGAAGAGTGTGAAACATTTGGTGATTTGAGCCTGGTTGTTGTATAGAATTGAAGAGTGTGAAACATTTGGTGATTTGAGCCTGGTTGTTGTGTAGAATTGAAGAGTGTGAAACATTTGGTGATTTGAGCCTGGTTGTTGTATAGAATTGAAGAGTGTGAAACATTTGGTGATTTGAGCCTGGTTGTTGTATAGAATTGAAGAGTGTGAAACATTTGGTGATTTGAGCCTGGTTGTTGTGTAGAATTGAAGAGTGTGAAACATTTGGTGATTTGAGCCTGGTTGTTGTATAGAATTGAAGAGTGTGAAACATTTGGTGATTTGAGCCTGGTTGTTGTATAGAATTGAAGAGTGTGAAACATTTGGTGATTTGAGCCTGGTTGTTGTATAGAATTGAAGAGTGTGAAACATTTGGTGATTTGAGCCTGGTTGTTGTATAGTATTGAAGAGTGTGAAACATTTGGTGATTTGAGCCTGGTTGTTGTATAGAATTGAAGAGTGTGAAACATTTGGTGATTTGAGCCTGGTTGTTGTATAGAATTGAAGAGTGTGAAACATTTGGTGATTTGAGCCTGGTTGTTGTATAGAATTGAAGAGTGTGAAACATTTGGTGATTTGAGCCTGGTTGTTGTATAGAATTGAAGAGTGTGAAACATTTGGTGATTTGAGCCTGGTTGTTGTATAGAATTGAAGAGTGTGAAACATTTGGTGATTTGAGCCTGGTTGTTGTATAGAATTGAAGAGTGTGAAACATTTGGTGATTTGAGCCTGGTTGTTGTATAGAATTGAAGAGTGTGAAACATTTGGTGATTTGAGCCTGGTTGTTGTATAGAATTGAAGAGTGTGAAACATTTGGTGATTTGAGCCTGGTTGTTGTATAGAATTGAAGAGTGTGAAACATTTGGTGATTTGAGCCTGGTTGTTGTATAGAATTGAAGAGTGTGAAACATTTGGTGATTTGAGCCTGGTTGTTGTATAGAATTGAAGAGTGTGAAACATTTGGTGATTTGAGCCTGGTTGTTGTATAGAATTGAAGAGTGTGAAACATTTGGTGATTTGAGCCTGGTTGTTGTATAGAATTGAAGAGTGTGAAACTGTTTTTTTTTGTTTTTTTTAATTGAATAAGAATCTTTAACTTAATTTTTATTTTTGGTCAAACATTTTTTTTTTTTTTTAAGAATAAAGAAATTTTTTATTTAACTTTTGGATCTATTTTCCATAAAACAAACTACTTCATATTTTACGGTGATAGGTTGGTAATAATTTACATAATGTCAAAGTAAAGAAATACAAATAAATTAATTTTTTTTTCGTCTATATAGATCTATTTTTTTTTTTTTTTTTTTTTTTTTGCCTGTCTTGTCTCCCCTACTATTCTCTTTATTTGCTTTATGTTTGTATTCTTTTTTCCTACATCCGAAAGTTGCATTGAGTGTGTCCATGTATTTAACTGGGTGGTTTTATATTTATGTTCAAAATTATGGTCGTGTTGCCTAGTCTTCGTCTAAGTGTTGCTTTAAAGATTGCGTCAATGTAGTTTTCAGTATAAATCTGACCTTTATGTTTTATCTTATTGCGGGTTATCCATATTGTGTGTCTGTATATTGCTGTTGCTATCAATTTATCATTGTCATCTGATCTATGATTTGTTTGTATTATGTTGTTGAGCGTAATGGCAATCTTTAGCGCTACTGTCTGTGTTGTTTTTTGTATTGTCCCTAGGGTTTGCATAACTTTTTGTAACGTTTTGCATTCCAGATATATATGTCGTTATGTTTCTTGTATCTTCTGTTTACATATTTGACATGTTGTATTGAAGTATGTGTCTATTATGTGGTTCCTGGTGTTTGGTGTTGTGTTGTAAATAAGTCTGTAGCCTACTTCTCTTTCTTTCTGTGTGATCTGTTTATTGTAGAGGTTTCTAAAGGTGGCGCTAATGTCTATAGTGAGTATTGAAATCTCTGGTCCATTTTATCCTGTTATGTAGAGGTACTAGTCTTATATTTTCTTTGTGTTTTCCCCTATAGTATTTCTGTCTGTTTTGAAGATGTTAAGGGCGTCCCTGTAAAAGCTACCTACATCTGTTCCTCCGTAATGTGGTGTCATATTGTTTGTCTTTAGAATGATGTTTATTCTATGTCCAATGTATTACCGTGTTAGTGGGTGGTAGTGTGGTTCTATTCTAATTCTGTCCAAATGTTTTAGTCTGAAAGCATTGATTTTCGTGTTAATGTCGTGTAATCCTATTCCCCCCGTTTTGTTTCTTATGTATGAGGGTTTGATGGCAAATGTTTCTGATTGTGTTTTTGAAAATGAACTCCCTAATATTTTTGATAGTTTTTTTTTTAATTTAGCAGACATTGTGTTGTTTGTGGCTAAAAATGATTTTGGGTATGATGTACCTATTAACTAAAGCTGCCCGGGAGAATATCAAGGTGTTGTAATTTTTATAATTGTTTAGTTTGTGCGTAATTTTTCCCGTAAGTTTTGTCCACGTTACATTGTCTTCTTTCTTTGGGTCATCAGTATATGTTATGCCGTACAGTTTTAGTTTGTCAGTCACTGTAATTGGCATGTTTAATTTGTTTTCCCAGTCCATTTACCTACTCCCTTTATTTTTTTTATTTTTCTGTATTTATTCTACCCCCACTATCTCTCCCAAAGTATATAAAAGTGTCTATAAATGTTTTAATTTCTTTTTCTGTCTGAGGTAAGAAAGTTGTGTATGCAAGTATTTTCCTATGTATTGTTTTGGGGATCTGTAATCCTTTAATGAATTTGTTCTTCCAAATAAATTCTAATAATGATTCTATGCTAAGTATATACAATAGTGGGGATAGTGGACATCCTCGCCTAACTGATTTCTCGATTTGTATTGGGTTGGTAAGGGTGTTGTTTATAATTAGATGACTTTGTGCATTATTGTATAATGTTGTGATCCAGGTTTTAAAATAGGACCCTAATTTGTATGCGTCTATTGTTTTTATTAGCCATGTGTTCTCTACTCTATCAAAGGCTTTTTGTTGGTCTACACTTAATATTGCTAACTGCGTGTTTTTCTGCTTACTGTAGTGTATATTGTCCCTCATCAAATGGGTGTGATTTTGTATGTTCCAACCCGTATCTAAAAATACCTCGTGCATCGGGGCGCTCACGTGTCGATGTACTACTGTGTAGAACAGCACCAAGGGCATTAGCGTCCAAAGGTTGTACAAGTATGAGAAGCCGAGACCCGTGCCGAAGATGTAGCAGCCGAAGGTCAGACCTGTCTTGGACTTTACATAGCTGTCTTCTGGTGATACCTTCACTGATACGGCCAGCCACTCGCGTATCTCGTGCCGGCTGTACTTACTTCTCCTGTTATACGAACAATGTACACGTACGCATACACGTACACGTACATCTACGCATACACGTACACGTACACGTACACGTACACGTACACGTACACGTACACGTACACGTACACGTACACGTACACGTACACGTACACGTACACGTACACGTACACGTACACGTACACGTACACGTACACGTACACGTACACGTACACGTACACGTACACGTACACGTACACGTACACGTACACGTACACGTACACGTACACGTACACATAAATCAAAGTGCGCTCTGTCCGGTACAACATTAAAGTCTACATCATAGAGCGCTCTGCTTGGCGTTGAAATATCACTTTATGTTTATATTGCTACTTCAGTTACAACGCCTGCTTCCACCCCTTACCATGTTTACATATATATACACACACACACACACACACATATATATATATATATATATATATATATATATATATATATATATATATATATATATATATATATATATATATATATATATATATATATATATATATTTGTACCAGAGGAATAAAACGAAGAATTCTATCATCGATCCAAACTTGAGACCGCAGAACGTCCCAGCTCTGATTGGTAAGTTGCACCACGTAAGGAAAAGTACAGGAGTCTGGGTATGTGCTGACCACACCATCACTTCATATACTGAGGTCAGGAAACATGAACTCTACTTCAGCTGCCCTATTGATCGTTTGGTTTGAAAGTGGAACGTTTGTTGTTTTTTTAGAAAAAGCCAAAATTTGAAGTTGAACTTTTTTTGTAATATGATCCTGCCTCAGCTTTAGTCAGTACCTGTCCTAATTTGTAGAAAAATGACTATATCAAATTGTCTTACGCTATGAGGTAGGAGCTGATGTGTAGGGCGGGGGGTACGAGGACACAGAGGGAGGGGCCGTAGGTGTGGCTGGCCAGCTGATGGTCCATGTCGACTGAGTCCATGACGAAGGTCATCTGGATGGGCTGGCTGCTGGTGATGACGGCTAGCTCGCTGCTTCTGTCGATCTGAGGACAAGGTGACATGTCATGTGTGGTCAGTCTGGTGATGACGGCTAGCTCGCTGCTTCTGTCGATCTGAGGACAAGGTGACATGTCATGTGTGGTCAGTTTGGTGATGACGGCTAGCTCGCTGCTTCTGTCGATCTGAGGATAAGATGACATGTCATGTGTGGTCAGTCTGGTGATGACAGGGTGACATGTCATGTATGGTCAGTCTGGTGATGACAGAGTGACATGTCATGTATGGTCAGTCTGGTGATGACGGCTAGCTCGCTGCTTCTGTCGATCTGAGGATAAGATGACATGTCATGTGTGGTCAGTCTGGTGATGACAGGGTGACATGTCATGTATGGTCAGTCTGGTGATGACAGAGTGACATGTCATGTATGGTCAATCTGGTGATGACAGGATGACATGTCATGTATAGTAAGTCTGATGACAAGATGATATGTCATGTATGGTCAGTCTGATGATGACAGGGTGATATACATGTATGGTCAGTCTGGTGATGACAGGGTGACATGTCATGTATGGCCAGTTTGGTGGTGAAAGGTGATATGTATAGAAAGTCTGGTGACAAGGTGACATGTCATATATGGTCAGTCTGGTGACAAGGTGATATGTTATGTATGATCAGTCTGGTGACAAGGTGATATGTCATGTATGGTCAGTCTGGTGATGTATGGTCAGTATGTTGCCACTATGACATGTGATGTATGTTTATTCTGGTGACAGGGTGATAGTTCATAATCCGCCCTAGCTTAATCTCAGGTACTATCAGTGTGGTGACATAGCATCGTGGCATGCGTTGTGATTGTGATGAAGATGTCATGTCATATTGTCTCAGTGTGGTGACATTACATGAATGTCGTGTCATCTAAGCGAGGCTTCAAAACAGCACGTCACGTTGAAATTTTTCATTTAAAAGGCCAGTAATATTATTGTTTGGTATCCAAGTATTTTTTTTCGGATTAATTCAAAGTTAGCATCGAAGTCTGGTGTTCTCGCTACAAATTTAACAAGGATCAGGTTTAAAACGCAGTATAAGGAGTAAGAGTTAGGGATAGGGTCATCGATTACAGCATCAGAGATTCTAATTCTTCCTGGAGTTTAAGTGAAGTGAAAAGCCTTTTAATCCCTAACTCATTCGCTAACTAGCTTGAAACACCCAGGCAACTCGGCAAGCTGCTTTTTAATAATTAACCCACAATACCAACATAAAATTAGATTTTATTTCTACCCTTATATAATAAACCTGTTACGTCCTTGCCATGGCTCATGAATAACCTCCAACTTGAACAGATATCATGTCTAGCCCCCAAAAACTAGCATTAACCTAAACGTATATAGCGGTACGGCTAACCCAAGAGAGCGATTTAAAAAAAAAAAAACAACTCACAACCCTCCATTCGTGCTGCTTCAGAACGAAGGTCAAGGCCACGTCCTCCAGCCTCCACTCGACCTTGACCTGCGTGTTATCCTTCGAGGCGATGATGCAGTACTGGACGAGATCGAACCTCCCGAAGGTGCTGAGTGTGACGTATTCGATGCCCAACTTCTTCAAGGGAAACAGCATTTCTGGAAGAAAGGTTCAGGAATTACAGTAAACACGCTGTTTATTCGTCATCCCCCTTTTCTGGGGTTTTGTGCATCACACTAAAACTATAACTTTTGTCCACTCTAAAACTGTAACTTTTGTCCACCACTCTAAAACTGTAACTTTTTCATTACCTGCCAGTACATTCCGGCTGAGGTTGACCTTGACCGCTGTGCCTTGTGCCGGCATGGAGGTCATGGACCAACAATTGCCGGATATGACACCAACCGGTCGTTTTGACGTCACTAACACGCCTGAAAGACATTGGTCAATACGATTACACAGACCTGTCTATTAAGGTCACAAAATTAAATAATTACATAGTAGGAGAGTGGTGACATCTATCCGAAAACATATTCGTGTTGAGTAGTGGTGGGGTTCAGTTCCCACACCAGATGGTGACACCTTCCAAATATCACACCAGGTGGTGACACCTTCAGTTACCACACCAGGTGGTGACACCTTCCAGTTATCACACCAGGTGGTGACACCTTCAGTTACCTCACCAGGTGGTGACACCTTCAGTTATCACACCAGGTGGTGACACCTTCAGTTACCTCACCAGGTGGTGACACCTTCAGTTATCACACCAGGTGGTGACACCTTCAGTTACCTCACCAGGTGGTGACACCTTCAGTTATCATACCAGGTGGTGACACCTTCAGTTACCACACCAGGTGGTGACACCTTCCAAATATCACACCAGGTGGTGACACCTTTAGTTACCACACCAGGTGGTGACACCTTCAGTTACCACACCAGGTGGTGACACCTTCCAAATATCACACCAGGTGGTGACACCTTTAGTTACCACACCAGGTGGTGACACCTTCAGTTACCACACCAGGTGGTGACACATTCAGTTACCACACCAGGTGGTGACACCTTCAGTTACCACACCAGGTGGTGACACCTTCAGTTACCACACCGGGTGACACCTGCCCATGTGACGTCACCACTGGGGTCTAAACAGTTGCAGTTGTTAGTTAAAAGCCAGTTTGTCTAAAAATAGATCCACCGCAGTACCGTTTGATGTGTGGTTTTACTGATGGTTTTATTTAGTTTCACCATCATCTTTTTCCGTAGATGCCCAAGACAAATGGGGGGAGATGTTTAGCTCTCCACCGCTAGGCCAGGCCGTCCCTTTTAGTGATTTTTATTAACTGCACCAAGAATGTGGAATCTGTTCAGTCAGGAATCATACGCTGAACGTCAAGGAAAGCAAAGACGATTGATATATATTCTTGATTGCTATAATGAGCAATATAGGAAGGAGGGGTAGACCTATATGCTAATATTTTATAACACTGGTTTACGTTAATAATCAAATGTCATTTTTTATTGATGTGAAGTCATACAACTGATATTTCAATTATTTATCAATACAGTACCTAACAAGTTTCCTGAGCTCTCCTTGGCATAGCAAAAGTCGAAAGCAACACTGGATTCGCTAGAAATTATATATATATATATATATATATATATATATATATATATATATATATATATATATATATATATAATTTTTTTTATATTTTTTAAAATTTATTTATTTATATATACGCGTACACGTCAACGTTCACGTACACGTACACGTACACGTACACATAAATCAAAGTGCGCTCTGTCCGGTACAACATTAAAGTCTTCATCATTGAGCGCTCTGCCTGGCACAACATATATATATATATATATATATATATATATATATATATATATATATATATATATATATATATATATATATATATATATATTTGTACCAGAGGAATAAAACGAAGAATTCTATCATCGATCCAAACTTAAGACCGCAGAACTTCCCAGCTCTGATTGGTAAGTTGAACCTCGTAAAGGAAAGTACAGGATGCTGGGTATGTGCTGATCACACCATCACTTCATATACTGAGGTCAAGAACCATGAACTCTACTTCAGCTGCCCTATTGATCGTTTGATTTTTTTAGAAAAAGCCAAAATTTCAAGTTGAACTTTTTTGTAATTTGATCCTGCCTCAGCTTTAGTCAGTACCTGTCCTAGTTTGTAGAAAAATGACAAGATCAAATTGGCTTACGCTATGAGGTAGGAGCTGATGTGTAGGGCGGGGGGTACGAGGACACAGAGGGAGGGGCCGTAGGTGTGGCTGGCCAGCTGATGGTCCATGTCGACTGAGTCCATGACGAAGGTCACCTGGATGGGCTGGCTGCTGGTGATGACGGCTAGCTCGCTGCGTCTGTCGATCTGTGGACAAGGTGACATGTCATGTGTGGTCAGTTTGGTGATGACGGCTAGCTCGCTGCTTCTGTCGATCTGAGGATAAGGTGACATGTCATGTATGTTTAGTTTGGTGATTACAGTGTGATATGTCATGTATGGTCATTCTTGTAATGACAAGGGTGATATGTCATGTATGGTCAGTCTGGTGATGACGGCTAGCTCGCTGCTTCTGTCGATCTGAGGATAAGGTGACATGTCATGTGTGGTCAGTCTGGTGATGACAGTGTGATATGTCATGTATGGTCATTCTTGTAATGACAAGGGTGATATGTCATGTATGGTCAGTCTGGTGATGACGGCTAGCTCGCTGCTTCTGTCGATCTGAGGATAAGGTGACATGTCATGTGTGGTCAGTCTGGTGATGACAGAGTGATATGTCATGTATGGTAAGTCTGATGACAAGGGGATATGTCATGTATGGACAGTCTGGTGATGACAGTGTGATATGTCATGTATGGTCATTCTTGTAATGACAAGGGTGATATGTCATGTATGGTCAGTCTGGTGATGACGGCTAGCTCGCTGCTTCTGTCGATCTGAGAATAAGGTGACATGTCATGTATGGTCAGTTTGGTGATGACAGGGTGATATGTCATGTATGGTCAGTCTGGTGATGACGGCTAGCTCGCTGCTTCTGTCGATCTGAGGATAAGGTGACATGTCATGTGTGGTCAGTCTGGTGATGACAGGGTGATATGTCATGTATGGTAAGTCTGATGACAAGGTGATATGTCATGTATGGTCAGTCTGGTGACAAGGTGATATGACATGTATGGTCAGTCTGGTGATGACAGGGTAACATGTCATATATGGTCAGTCTGGTGACAAGGTGATATGTCATGTATGGTCAATCTGATGATGACAGGGTGATATGTCATGTATGGTCAGTCTGATGATGACAGTGTGACATGTCATATATGGTCAGTCTGGTGACAAGGTGATATGTCATGTATGGCCAGTCTGATGATGACAGTGTGACATGTCATATATGGTCAGTCTGGTGACAAGGTAATATGTCATGTATGGTCAGTCTGGTGACAAGGTGATATGACAGGTATGGTCAGTATGGTGATGACAGGGTGACATGTCATGTATAGTAAGTCTGGTGACAGGGTAATATGTCATGTATGGACAGTCTGGTGACTAATATGTCATGTATGGTCAGTCTGATGACAAGGTGATATGTCATGTATGGTCAGTCTGGTGATGACAGAGTGACATGTCCTGTTTGGCCAGTCTGATTATGACACGGTGAGATTTCATGTATAGTAAGTCTGATGACAAGGTGATATGTCATGTATGGCCAGTCTAATGATGACAGGGTAACATGTCATGTATAGTTAGTCTGGTGACAAGGTGATATGTCATTTATGGTCAGTCTGATGATGACAGGGTGGCATGTCGTGTATGGTCAGTATGGTGCCAGAATGACATGTCATGTATGTTTATTCTGGTGACAGGTTGATGGTTCATAATCCGCCCTAGCTTAATCTCAGGTACTGTCAGTGTGATGACATAGCATCGTGGCATGTGTTGTGATTGTGATGAAAGATGTCACGTCATATTGTCTCAGTGTGGTGACATAGCATCGTGGCATGCGTTGTGATTGTGATGAAAGATGTCATGTCATATTGTCTCAGTGTGGTGACATAGCATCGTGGCATGCGTTGTGATTGTGATGAAAGATGTCATGTCATATTGTCTCAGTTTGGTGACATAGCATCGTGGCATGCGTTGTGATTGTGATGAAAGATGTCATGTCATATTGTCTCAGTGTGGTGACATAGCATCGTGGCATGCGTTGTGATTGTGATGAAAGATGTCATGTCATATTGTTTCAGTGTGGTGACATAGCATCGTGGCATGCGTTGTGATTGTGATGAAAGATGTCATGTCATATTGTCTCAGTTTGTTGACATAGCATCGTGGCATGCGTTGTGATTGTGATGATGTCATGTCATATTGTCTCAGTGTGGTGACATAACATCGTGGCATGCGTTGTGATTGTGATGAAAGATGTCATGTCATATTGTCTCAGTGTGGTGACATAGCATCGTGGCATGCGTTGTGATTGTGATGAAAGATGTCATGTCATATTGTCTCAGTGTGGTGACATAGCATCGTGGCATGCGTTGTGATTGTGATGAAAGATGTCATGTCATATTGTCTCAGTGTGGTGACATAGCATCGTGGCATGCGTTGTGATTGTGATGAAAGATGTCATGTCATATTGTCTCAGTGTGGTGACATAGCATCGTGGCATGCGTTGTGATTGTGATGAAAGATGTCATGTCATATTGTCTCAGTGTGGTGACATTACATGAATGTCGTGTCATCTAAGCGAGGCTTCAAAACAGCAGGTCACGTTTAAATTTTTCATGTAAAAGGCCAGTAATATTATTGTTTGGTATCCAAGTATTTTTTTTTCGGATTAATTCAAAGTTAGCATCGAAGTCTGGTGTTATCGACTGTAACAAGGATCAGGTTTAAAATGTAGTGTAAGGAGTAATAGTTAGGGATAGGGCAGGGGTCGGCAACCTGCGGCTCGCGAGCCGCATGCGGCTCTTTTGATATCAAGATGCGGCTCTCCAGCTCCTTGAACAAATACTAATAATCTTAATAAAAAAAAAATATTTGAAATAAAAAAAATGTTGGTGGCTCTTTAAAACCAGGGAAATTTTGAAAATTGTAACTTTTGGCTCTTCCGCTTCAAAAGGTTGCCGAACCCTGGGATAGGGTCATCGATTACAGCATCAGAGATTCCAATTCTTCCTGGAGTTTAGGAGAAGTGAAAAGCCTTTTAATCCCTAACTCATTAGCTAACAAGCTTGAAACACCCAGGCAACTCGGCAAGCTGCTTTTTCATAATTAACCCACAACACCAACATAAAATTAGAATTTTTTTCTACCCTTATATTCTAAACCTGCTACGTCCTTGCCATAGCTCATGAATAACCTCAAACTTGAACAGATATCATGTCTAGCCCCCAAAAACTAGCATTAACCTAAACGTATAAAGCGGTACGGCTAACCCAAGAGAGCGATTTAAAAAAAAAACAACTCACAAGCCTCCATTCGTGCTGCTTCAGAACGAAGGTCAAGGCCACGTCCTCCAGCCTCCACTCGACCTTGACCTGCGTGTTTTCCTTCGAGGCGATGATGCAGTACTGGACGAGGTCGAACCTCCCGAAGGTGACGTATTCGATGCCCAACTTCTTCAAGGGAAACAGCATTTCTGGAAGAAAGGTTCAGGAATTACAGTAAACACGCTGTTTATTCGTCATCCCCCTTTTCTAGGGTTTTGTGCATCACACTAAAACTATAACTTTTGTCCACAATAAAACTGCAACTTTTGTCCACTACACTAAAACTGTAACTTTTGTCCATCACACTTAAACTGTAACTTTTGTCCACCACACTAAAACTGTAACTTTTGTCCACCACACTAAAACTGTAACTTTTGTCCACCACACTAAAACTGTAACTTTTGTCCACCACACTAAAACTGTAACTTTTGTCCATCACACTAAAACTGTAACTTTTGTCCACCACACTAAAACTGTAACTTTTGTCCACCACACTAAAACTGTAACTTTTGTCCATCACACTAAAACTGTAACTTTTGTCCACCACACTAAAACTGTAACTTTTGTCCACCACACTAAAACTGTAACTTTTGTCCATCACACTAAAACTGTAACTTTTGTCCACCACACTAAAACTGTAACTTTTGTCCACCACACTAAAACTGTAACTTTTGTCCACCACACTAAAACTGTAACTTTTGTCCACCACACTAAAACTGTAACTTTTGTCCACCACACTAAAACTGTAACTTTTGTCCACCACACTAAAACTGTAACTTTTGTCCACCACACTAAAACTGTAACTTTTGTCCATCACACTAAAACTGTAACTTTTGTCCACCACACTAAAACTGTAACTTTTGTCCACCACACTAAAACTGTAACTTTTGTCCATCACACTAAAACTGTAACTTTTGTCCACCACACTAAAACTGTAACTTTTGTCCACCACACTAAAACTGTAACTTTTGTCCATCACACTAAAACTGTAACTTTTTCATTACCTGCCAGTACATTCCGGCTGAGGTTGACCTTGACCGCTGTGTCTTGTACCGGCATGGAGGTCATGGACCAACAATTGCCGGATACGACACCAACCGGTCGTTTTGACGTCACTAAAACGCCTGAAAGACATTGGTCAATACGATTACACAGACCTGTCTATTAAGGTCACAAGATTAAATAATTACATAGTAGGAGAGTGACATCTATCCGAAAACGTATTCGTGTTGAGTGGTGGTGGGGTGACATCTTCAGTTACCACACCAGGTGGTGACACCTTTAGTTACCACACCAGGTGGTGAAACCTTCCAGTTACCACACCAGGTGGTAACACCTTCAGTTACCACACCGGGTGACACCCGCCCATGTGACGTCACCACTCGGGTCTAAACAGTTGCAGTTGTGAGTTAAGCCAGTTTGTCTAAAAATAGATCCACCGCAGTACCGTTTGATGTGTGGTTTTACTGATGGTTTTATTTAGTTTCACCATCATCTTTTTCTGTTGGTGCCCAAGACATATGGGGCAGATGTTTAGCTCTCTACCGCTAGGCCACACCGCCCCTTCTATTGACTATTATTAACTGCACCAAGAATGTGGAATCTGTTCAGTCAGGAATCATACGCTGAACGTCAAGGAAAGCAAAGACGATTGATATATATTCTTGATTGCTATAATGAGCAATATAGGAAGGAGGGGTAGACCTATATGCTAATATTTTATAACACTGGTTTACGTTAATAATCAAATGTCATTTTTTATTGATGTGAAGTCATACATCAATATTAAACAACTGATATTTCAATTATTTATCAATACAGTACCTAACAAGTTTCCTGAGCTCTCCTTGGCATAGCAAAAGTCGAAAGCAACACTGGATTCGCTAGAAATTATATATATATATATATATATATATATATATATATATATATATATATATATATATATATATATATATATATAATTTTTTTTATATTTTTTAAAATTTATTTATTTATATATACACGTACACGTCAACGTTCACGTACACGTACACGTACACGTACACATAAATCAAAGTGCGCTCTGTCCGGTACAACATTAAAGTCTACATCATAGAGCGCTCTGCCTGGCACAACATATATATTTATATATATATATATATATATATATATATATATATATATATATATATATATATATATATATATATATATATATATATGCACACACACACACACACACACACACATATATATATATATATATATATATATATATATATATATATATATATATATATATATATATATATATATATTTGTACCAGAGGAATAAAACGAAGAATTCTATCATCGATCCAAACTTAAGACCGCAGAACTTCCCAGCTCTGATTGGTAAGTTGAACCTCGTAAAGGAAAGTACAGGATGCTGGGTATGTGCTGACCACACCATCACTTCATATACTGAGGTCAAGAACCATGAACTCTACTTCAGCTGCCCTATTGATCGTTTGATTTTTTTAGAAAAAGCCAAAATTTCAAGTTGAACTTTTTTGTAATTTGATCCTGCCTCAGCTTTAGTCAGTACCTGTCCTAGTTTGTAGAAAAATGACAAGATCAAATTGGCTTACGCTATGAGGTAGGAGCTGATGTGTAGGGCGGGGGGTACGAGGACACAGAGGGAGGGGCCGTAGGTGTGGCTGGCCAGCTGATGGTCCATGTCGACCGAGTCCATGACGAAGGTCACCTGGATGGGGTGGCTGCTGGTGATGACCGCTAGCTCGCTGCTTCTGTCGATCTGAGGACAAGGTGACATGTCATGTGTGGTCAGTCTGGTGATGACAGGGTGATATGTCATGTATGGTCAGTCTTGTAATGACAAGGTGATATGTCATGTATGGTCAGTCTAATGATTACAGGGTGATATGTCATGTATGGTCAGTTTATTGATGACAGGATGATATGTCATGAGGACAGTTTGGTGACAGGTTGATTTGTCATGTATGGTCAGTCTGGTGATGACAAGGTGATATGTCATGTATGGTCAGTCTGGTGACAAGGTGATACATCATGTATGGTCAGTCTGGTGACAAGGTGATATGTCATGTATGGTCAGTTTGGTGAGGACAGGGTGACATGTCATGTATGGTCAGTCTGGTGACAAGGTGATATGTCATGTATGGTCAGTCTGGTGAGGATAGGGTGACATGTCATGTATGGTCAGTTTGGTGAGGACAGGGTGACATGTCAGGTATGGTCAGTTTGAGGACAAGGTGATATGTCATGTATGGTCAGTTTGGTGAGGACAGGGTGACATGTCAGGTATGGTCAGTTTGGTGAGGACAGGGTGACATGTCAGGTATGGTCAGTTTGAGGACAAGGTGATATGTCATGTATGGTCAGTCTGGTAACAAGGTGATATGTCATGTATGGTCAGTCTGGTGAGGATAGGGTGACATGTCATGTATGGTCAGTCTGGTGACAAAGTAATAGTCAGTCTGGTGACAAAGTAATATGTCATATATGGTCAGTATGGTGATGACAGAGTGACATGTCGTGTATGGTCAGTATGGTGCCAGTATGACATGTCATGTATGTTTATTCTGTTGACAGGGTGATAGTTCATAATCCGCCCTAGCTTAATCTCAGGTACTCTCAGTGTGACATAGAATATTGGCATGCGTTGGGATTGTGATGAAAGATGTCATGTCATATTGTCTCAGTGTTGTGACATAGCATCGTGGCATGCGTTGGGATTGTGATGAAAGATGTCATGTCATATTGTCGAAGTGTGGTGACATAACACTGTGGCATTCGTTGTGATTGTGATAAAAGATGTCATGTCATATTGTCTCAGTGTGGTGACATAGCATCGTGGCATGCGTTGTGATTGTGAAGAAAGATGTCATGTCATATTGTCTCAGTGTGGTGACATAGCATTGTGGCATGCGTTGTGATTGTGATGAAGATGTCATGTCATCTTGTCTCAGTGTGGTGACATAGCATCGTGGCATGCGTTGTGATTGTGATGAAGATGTCATGTCATCTTGTCTCAGTGTGGTGACAGTACATGAATGTCGTGTCATCTAAGCGAGGCTTCAAACGTCACGTTTAGATTTTTCGTGTAAAGTGCCAGTAGACAATATCGTTTTGTATCCAAGTTTCGTTTTTTTTTTGGATTAATTCAAAGTAACAAGGATCAGGTTTAAAACGTAGTGTAAGGAGTAAGAGTTAGGGCTAGGGTCGTCGATTACTGCATCAGATTCTAATTCTTCCTGGAGTTTAAGAGAAGTGAAAAGCCTTTTAATCCCTAACTCATTAGCTAACAAGCTTGAAACACCCAGGCAACACGGCAAGCTGCTTTTTCATAACTAACCCACAACATCAACATAAAATTAGATTTTATTTCTACCATAATATACTAAACCTGCTACGTCCTTGCCATAGCTCATGAATAACCTCCAACTTGAATAGATATCAAGTCTAGCCCCCAAAGACTAGCATTAACCTAAACGTATAAAGCGGTACGGGTAACCCAAGAGAGCAATTTTTAAAAAAAAAACAACTCACAAGCCTCCATTCGTGCTTCTTCATCACGAAGGTCAAGGCCACGTCCTTCAGCTTCCACTCGATCTTGACCTGCGTGTTTTCCTTCGAGGCGATGCTGTAGTACTGGCCAAGGTCGAACCTCCCGAAGGTGCTGAGTGTGACGTATTCGGTGCCCAACTTCTCCAAGGGAAACAGCATTTCTGGAAGAAGGGTTCAAGAATTACAGTAAACACGCTGTTTATTCGTCATCCCCTTTTTCTGTGGTTTTATCCATCACACTAAAACTGTAACTTTTGTCCACCACACTAAAACTGTAACTTTTGTCCACCACACTAAAACTGTAACTTTTGTCCATCACACTTAAACTGTAACTTTTGTCTATCACACTAAAACTGGATCTTTTGTCCATCACACTAAAACTGTAACTTTTGTCCACTACACTAAAACTGTAACTTTTGTCCACTACACTTAAACTGTAACTTTTGTCCATCACACTAAAACTGTAACTTTTGTCCACCACACTAAAACTGTAACTCTTGTCCACCACACTAAAACAGTAACTTTTGTCCATCACACTAAAACTGTAACTTTTGTCCACCACACTAAAACTGTAACTTTTGTCCACCACACTAAAACAGTAACTTTTGTCCACATCAAAACTCTAACTTTTGTCCATCACACTTAAACTGTAACTTTTATCCATCACACTAAAACTGTAACTTTTGTCCATCACACTAAAACTGTAACTTTTGTCCACTACACTTAAACTGTAACTTTTGTTCATCACTCTAAAACTGTACCTTTTGTCCATCACACTAAAACTGTTACTTTTGTCCATCACTCTAAAACTGTAACTTTTGTCCATCACACTAAAACTGTAACTTTTGTCCACTACACTTAAACTGGAACTTTTGTCCATCACTCTAAACTTTTGTCCACCACACTAAAACTGTAACTTTTGTCCATACTAAAACTGTAACTTTTGTCCACACTAATACTGTAACTTTTGTTCACACTAAAACTGTAACTTTTGTCCACTACACTTAAACTGTAACTTTTGTCCATCACACTAAAACTGTAACTTTTGTCCACCACACTAAAACTGTAACTTTTGTCCACCACACTAAAACTGTAACTTTTGTCCACCACACGAAAACTGTAACTTTTGTGCATCACAGTCAAACTGTACCTTTTGTCCATCACACTAAAACTGTAACTTTTGTCCATACTAAAACTGTAACTTTTGTCCACACTAATACTGTAACTTTTGTTCACACTAAAACTGTAACTTTTATCCATCACACTAAAACTAACTTTTGTCCAACACTCTAAAACTGTACCTTTTGTCCATCACACTAAAACTGTAATTTTTGTCCATACTAAAACTGTAACTTTTGACCACACTTAAACTGTAACTTTTTTCCATCACACTAAAACTGTAACTTTTGTCCATCACACTAAAACTGTAACTTTTGTCCATCACACTAAAACTGTAACTTTTGTCCACTACACTTAAACTGTAACTTTTGTCCATCACTCTAAACTTTTGTCCACCACACTAAAACTGTAACTTTTGTCCATACTAAAACTGTAACTTTTGTCCACACTAATACTGTAACTTTTGTTCACACTAAAACTGTTACTTTTGTCCATCACACTTAAACTGTAACTTTTGTCCATCAAATTAAAACTGTAACTTTTGTCCATCACACTTAAACTGTAACTTTTGTCCATCACACTAAAACAGTAACTTTTGACCACACTTAAACTGTAACTTTTGTCCATCGTACTAAAACTAACTTTTGTCCACCACACTAAAACTGTAACTTTTGTCCATCACACTAAAACTGTAACTTTTATCCATCACACTTAAACTGTAACTTTTGTCCATCACTCTAAACTTTTGTCCACCACATAAAAACTGTAACTTTTGTCCACCACACTAAAACTGTAACTTTTGTCCACCACACTAAAACTGTAACTTTTGTCCACCACATTAAAACTGTAACTTTTGTCCACCACACTAAAACTGTAACTTTTGTCCATCACACTAAAATTGCAACCTTTGTCCATACTGAAACTGTAACTTTTGTGCATCACAGTCAAACTGTAACTTTTGTCCATCACACTAAAACTAACTTTTGTCCAACACTCTAAAACTGTACCTTTTGTCCATCACACTAAAACTGTAACTTTTGTCCATATTAAAACTGTAACTTTTGTCCACACTAATACTGTAACTTTTGTTCACACTAAAACTGTAACTTTTGTCCATCACACTAAAACTGTTACTTTTGTCCATCACACTAAAACTGTTACTTTTGTCCATCACACTAAAACTGTTACTTTTGTCCATCACTCTAAAACTGTAACTTTTGTCCATCACACTAAAACTGTAACTTTTGTCCACTACACTTAAACTGTAACTTTTGTCCATCACTCTAAACTTTTGTCCACCACACTAAAACTGTAACTTTTGTCCATACTAAAACTGTAACTTTTGTCCACACTAATACTGTAACTTTTGTTCACACTAAAACTGTAACTTTTGTCCACTACACTTAAACTGTAACTTATGTCCATCACACTAAAACTGTAACTTTTGTCCACCACACTAAAACTGTAACTTTTGTCCACCACACTAAAACAGTAACTTTTGTCCAGAAAACTGTAACTTTTGTCCACTACACTAAAACTGTAACTTTAGTCCACCACACTAAAACTGTAACTTTTGTCCATCACACTAAAACTGTAACTTTTGTCCATCACACTTAAACTGTAACTTTTGTCCATCACTCTAAACTTTTGTCCACCACACTAAAACTGTAACTTTTGTCCACCACACTAAAACTGTAATTTTTGTCCATCACACTAAAACTGCAACTTTTGTCCATACTAAAACTGTAACTTTTGTCCACATCAAAACTCTAACTTTTGTGCATCACTGTCAAATTGTAACTATTGTCCATCACACTAAAACTAACTTTTGTCCACCACTCTAAAACTGTAACTTTTGTCAATCACACTAAAACTGTAACTTTTGTCCATCACTCTAAAACTGTAACTTTTGTTCACACTAAAACTAACTTTTGTCCACCACTATAAAACTGTAACTTTTGTCCATCACACTAAAACTGTAACTTTTGTCCACACTAAAACTGTAACTTTTGTCCATCACACTAAAAGTGTAACTTTTGTCCACCACACTAAAACTGTAGC